TCCGTGCTTTCAGCATCTTTCCTTGAGCATCTCATTTGCATTTGGCATTTCCCAGCCGCGGCCGCCGTTTGATGGCTGCTCGCACCCTCTTGTGGAGATGCAGCAGAGCAGGGCTGTTCCCAAATCAGCGTCTTCCTCGTCCCCATTGCCTCCCTTCCTGCAGGCCCTCGGAGAGGGGCGGCTGAGCCGCAGAACCCCTGAGGTTCCCTCTGCTGGCACCGGCAGGGTGAGCCCCAGTGGATGATTGCCAGCTGGCTTGGGGCATGGGGGGAACACGCGGCTCACCCTGTCCCCCCCCTCGGTGTGTGTTTTGCAGGCCCAGACCCAAGAGCTGGAGGAGTTAAATAAGGAGCTGAGGCAGTGTAATTTGCAGCAGTTTATTCAGCAGACGGGGGCCACGGTGACCGTCCTGCAGGCCAGGTCCGAGGAGGACGCCCAGCCGGAGCCGAGCCCGTGCGAGCTGCCAGCCTACCGGAGAAACGGAGGTCAGCACGCTGCCGCTGGCTCGGCCGCGGGCGCTGCTCCACGGGACCCCTGCCCGCTCCCTGCCTCCTTCTCCGAGGGGTCAGCCCCAGAGATGACCAGTTCTCCCCTGGGCACTGAGATTAGGCAGGTGGGGGTTTGTGTGCTGACATGTCAGTTGCTCACCACTCCATGGAGTTTCAGAGATTTGTCACCCCGGGGGCTCCTTCCTCCTCCCCACTGAAGCCTGGGGGCTGCTCATAGACATGCATGGGAGTTGGATCCTGCATTGCTGCTTTTGGGGCCGAGGTGGCTGCAGGGAGCTTTCCTTCACAGCCTTGTTCATGTCACCACAGCAGCTGCAGCAAAAGGCAGGTGGCCAAAGGCCGACATCAGTCCCCGGGGGCTGTGGGCTGGTGGGGACATGCCCTGGCCACAAATTACCTTTCTGTGTTTGGTGAGGGAAGGGTGGTGCCCAAGGCCTTGTCTGCATCCTCACAGGCATGAGAGGAGGTGGCGGGGGGTTCTCATGGAAAGGAACCTGGTCATTTCTCCTCTGGAGCACCCGGAGCGGGTGACGTGACTGCCCTGCAGTACTGCAGTGGCTGTGCCCAGCAAGCATGGGAGGCTCGAGCCCTGCCTGAGACGGATGTTTTTCCCCATCCTGTAGGTTTTTCTCCCACCGCTGGTACAGACTTGCCTCCCCAGGTCAGCACCAAGCAGCTCCTCGGCCATCCCAGGACCCTGCCAGAGCCCCTGGTGTCCAGCCTGAACCCTGAGGGTGCGTATGTCCAATGGGGCCCTGGGAGTGTGAGCTGCTCTGCAGAGGATGGGTGGGAAGAGGGGAGAGGCTTTTGCTGCCCAAAATGGGCTGCAGAGAGCAAGCGTGTGCTGGTGGTGGGAGGCCAGAGCTATTTATAGATGCCATTAGGAAGCGCAAAGCTCACACTCCAGCAGTCTCTGCTCTGCTGCCAGGGGCTCACACACTGGCAGCCTGCCTCTCTGCCCTGCCAGGAGCTGTGGAGAATGGTTCTCATCCCCTCTTCTGCCACTCTGTATCCCCTGGGGTTAAGACCTTGCTCAGTTAGGATGAGGAGAACTACTTGTCTCCTGTCTTTCACGGGAGCTACTTTTGTTCCGTCTTAGTGACCACTTCATCCCAAAACCCTTTCTACCTCCTGTGACTCTTTTGTCACCTTGTGCCTGTTTTTGGGTGCAGCAAAAAGATCTGTGGTAGAGACACCTACCTGCTGTGGTGATGCCACCTCCACCCTGGCATCCTACTCCCACCCATGCCACCTTTGCCTCAGTAAAACCCTATTGCCTTTTTCCACACAGCCCAACACATCCACCCCCAACCTTCAGGACACTGCAGTAACCGCATTCCCATTTCCCTGTCCAGGCTTTGTGCTCACATACATCCTGCTTTCCTTTTTGCAAGTGCTTACCCACCATGGTGGGATTGCTCAGGTGTTTTTTTCTCTTGTCTTACAGCTGTACCAACCAGGCAGAGCATCTGGAGGTAGAAGGGCCCAGGCAGTGGAGGATCAATTGCCTTCAAAGTGTAACTCTATAAATAAACCATATTATATATATATATATATATATAAACACACATATATATTTTATATTTTTTTTACTGCTTTATATTGTGAATGAATATGGATGGCCAGACAGAATATTTTTACAGACTGCAAAGTAAAACTAAAGACTGATCTCACAAAGCAACCCTCTTCCCCTGAGGATGAAAGCGACTCCCTTCTATTTTTTTTTTAAGCAGTTTCTATATTGAACAGAAGACAGCAGTGCACCCATTCTGCATAGCCTCCTCAAAAGATCCATCGTGCATTTGGAAAAGTCATTGTTCCTTTGACTAGGGGAGGGAAGCTGCAGTGGAGACCCGTGTGGAGGCTCACGTGGATGAAGCAAGTTAACAGATTTTACAGCAACTCGTCACTGCAAGTGGGGCCATGACAAACAGCCTCTTCACTGGCGGCAGGGGAGGCCCAAAAGCAGTTTTAAGACAAATTTCTGGCCTGTCCTTTTTTTATGTATAAGAAACTAGGAGAAACTACTTTTTATGGTGCCACAGACCATGCTTCAAGGAAACACACAGCGGGAGTTCTTTTTCTTTAAATGAATTTAATCTTTTTAAAGTAAAAAATTGCAGAATGAGCCCTTCCCCGGTGGTGGTGTGAGTGGAGAACAGGACCAAAATACTCTTGGTGACATTTCTCTGATATTTTTAATTTTTTTTTTTTAACTCGATGGCCAGTAGTTACCATTCTGTTCATCTGTCGCGGTGGGTCACCTTGTATTTTGATTGCAAAACCAAAGCGGTTTGGAGAGGGGATGAGTTTGTCTGGGAGATTCCCTGAGCCCGTTTTCAACGTGTCATATGCGAAAAATGTGACTTGGGCACAGCGTTCCTGGTAAAACCCCGCTTCCCCCGTGTGAATGTAAATCCTGTGCGCCGCAGATGCAGTTTTCAATAAATCTTTGGGAAAGGCTTTGAGCAGAGCGAGTGTGAGTGTGGTGTTGTGGCCAGGGTGAGCCGTCCCTGCCGGCGTCTGACAGACACGTCCGAGTGGTTTGCGCACCCCGCAGCTGCCTCTTCCATTTCCATGCCATCTCTTTCTATTTGCCGAATTAAAGCTGTGAGTATTTTATAACTGACTCCCTCTTATGCACACAGTGCTCTTTTCTTCTTTTTTTTCCCTTTTCTTTTTTTTTTTTTTTTAATTGTGAAGTGCTTTACAACCAGGGGATGCAGCTTGTCTCCGGTGAGATGCGGCCATCTCTGGGATGAAACATGGCAACATTTTAATAATGCACAGCAGCAGCTCAGAGCATTTTAGGACAGGAGGCAAAGGGAGTGGCGCTCAGCTGCAGACAAGAGCAGGTAAGGGGAAATTTCCCATTTGCCTCCAAGCCCCTTTTTCTGCACCTGGATAACAGTAGTCAGGAATGTCAGCTCTTGCTGTCCATCACCATCTCCCCTGAGTTTCTGCTGGGCTCTTGTCCCTGGGTACATCTTCCTCTCTCAAAGCTGATTTTCAAGGTCCCACCACAGTCCAGCAGGCTGATCAAGTAATATTAAAGGATTAAAGTTTGCTTTTTTGGGAGATCCAGTGGTACTGCTGTGTTTTAGGTTATGACTGGAGAGCTGCCACGGTGGGGAGATGCAGTTTCAAAGTTGCCTTTTTTGAATTGGGGCTTTTGCGTTTTTATGGATGGGTTGCTTTTCAAGCTCCTCCTCACCCTCCTCCTTAAATCATGTATCTCAAAGAAAATTAGTTAAAAATGTGTTTGTTCCATGCAGCTGCATTTGGTTTCTCTCCTGCTTGCTTTTTGGGCTTCATGTGCTTTTTTTTTTTTGAACTCTTGCTTTTAAAGATTCTGCCTTGCTAAGAAGTGAGTGACGGACATTGTAAACAGCATTTCAGTGCTGCTTGGGGAGGCGAGGGAAAAGCAGGTTTAGAAAACCCACTTGCCTTGGACGTGGCCAGATTTCAATGTGTCATGGGACATCCTTTGCCTATCCCAAAAAACTGACCCCTGCTTTAAAACTGGGTCTTACATTTTTTGGATTACATTTGTAGCCTTGCCTTCTGCAAAATAAACAGGAATAAAGAGAAAAGGCTCATCACCTATGGTACTTCCAAAGGGGGGCAGAAAATTAATTTGAATGTCTGGGGGATTTTTTTCCCCTCCATTATGATTATATATTATTTATCATTTTTGTAGGTTCAGTCATAATTCAGTCATAATCATAACAGGCCAAACCAGCACCAGTCTTTCCTAGAGGGAGGTGTGGGAGGGTGTGGAAAATAAGGATTTAAAATACATATATCACAGCAGATTTGGCCCTTCAGCTGATGCCCCTTGGCTGGCATGCAGGATTTGGAACTGTTGCATGGGTGGGAAGACAGAGTAAATCAACTGTGTCCCCCACTGATAACCAGGCATGGGGCTAGCGAGAGGGCCGTGAGCAGGGGCTAACCCTTTTCAGCTCAAGACTGTGGCTCTTTGCAGATTTACTTCATTTTACGTCCTACCCACCATCACCCAGCTGCTGCCTAGGCCAGCAGTGTTTCAGGAGGTAATAAATTACTTTGATTAACACCTCTATCTATCACTGCTGTGGTGCACATGGGGAGAGGTGGTAATCAAACTCATGTGTTACCTCGGGAGCTCCCCAGCCGAGGGTGACCTATATTCCTGCCGGCTCGGGGGGCCTGTGCTGGCCACGCGGGTCCCGCCTGTTATTTAATGCAGCCAGGCTCAATACCCACTCCCCCCCCTCCCCGCTTTTAGCTGCTCTAAAGTCTGTGTCAATAATACATTTCTGCCATTGAATATTTTATTGATGGTTTGACTTTTTTTTGCTGCTTGCAATTCCCATTTCAAGGCTGCGTGATTGTTCCTAATTAAAATTTTATGCCCTGGGACAAGCCTTCTTGCTACAGTGGAGATGATGCTGTCCTTTTCTAGGCCACTACAGAGTAGTAAGAAGAAATTACCATTACCCATTGTTGTGAGATTAAAACAAAGCAAATAAATTATTGTTTATTCCCTTAAAAAGCAGACCAAAAGCCCTGCGTACGGAGCGTACTGGAGAGAGAACAACTGGCTCGCAGGCAAGGCAGGGATCCAAGTTTGCAGGGTGGCTCGAGGATGCTGTGCCTGGCTGCACAGGGACTCATGTCCCCGTGTCCCTCAGGCGGTGTGGGCAGCTTCTTCCTTCCCTGGAGTGGGTGGGAATGGACTTCAGAGCTTCTCTCTCCTCAGATGCTTTTCCTGGCTAGCTCCAGTGCCACCCAAATGTCACAAAGTGAAGGATATACCTGTTTTTCACTGGTGAGCAGCCCTGATTTTTTGTTAGCTTTTTTTTTTTAATACATCTGCAGGTTCTGCCAGCACAAGGCACCATTCAGAAGAGTATTTCACGCACCTCCAGCCTCCCTGGCGCCCTTTTCCTGGCTGCACTACCTGATTTTTTTTTTTTTAAGGATTTTTTTTTTTTTTTTAATATTGCGTAAATAAATGACCCCCCCCAGCTCCTCATCCCTCTATCCTGGACATTCAGCTCCTCACCATCTTCATCAGATGGGAGGTCTGGGTGCCAGCACTGCCCCAGGCCAGTGCAGTTTCTTCAGGGCAACACTGCTGCAGACACTTGAACCATCCTCAAGTTGCAGTTATGTATTTGTACAAATTCATGGGTGTTTGGTTTTTCTTTTCCCCCCTCAATTTCATCTAGAGTGCTAGAAGCATTTCTGCTGCCTCCCAGCCCCTGGATTTGGCAAGCAGCTTTTAAAGCACACACTTCAGCACCAATTACATAAGGAAAGGTGTGAATGTCTGGAGGAGAAAATGCCTGTTGGTTTTGCTCCCCAAGTGGTGTACAGATGCTCTGCTGCTTGCTCCTGGCTGCACAGCTTCTACCAGCATAGTTCACTGCAGATGAAGAAGAGCTGCTTGAAGCAGCGTGTGTGTCCATGCAGGGAGCATTGTCTGCTCTCCTATGATGATTTTTCTTTCTCCATCTCAGAGTGCAGACTGACTGCTTTCTACCTTGCCCTGGAAAAAAAAAAACAAACCATAAAGCACTAGAGGAGGCTGGGAAATTTTCTTGTTTATGGATGAGCAAGTTTCTCTCCCAACGGAACCTCCTGCCAGCAGAAATATTTTTTTTTTTTTAGGATGTATTATATAAGTCCCTGCTTGCATTCAACTAACTGACTTCTTCTTAAACAATTCATGTACTCCTTCAGAGCAGCTTGCTCCTTCGGTGAGGCTCACCTGACACTGGGACGTTATGGACAGAACACAACAGGCGCTTCTTAATGTGGTGCTTGAAGGGTAAGGCCTGTTCCCTCCATGAAGAGCTAAAACATGAAAAATCTTTGAAGAGCACAGAGTCCCATCAGCTCAACAGGCCTGAAATTCAGCATCTTCCCCTCCTGTAAGGCACTCCCCTGCCTCTCACCAAAATTCTTACAGTTCTGAGCGAAAGCACACAACTACTCTTCTAACCAAGCTACGTACCATCTTACAAATCTGTTTATTAGCTACTGAAAAACATTAAATCAAGGGCCATCACAGCCCTGGTGCATTTTCTCATCACTCAGGAGCACCCTCCAGCTAAGCCAGGACAGAAGGGCTCAGCTGGCCTTTCTGCTTGAGGGACAACCATGTCACACCCTTCTGGTCTCCTTTCCAAGCCACTTTCACTGGCCACAGAGGCAAAATAAGAGACGGGTGGAACCAGGCATGGAGCGCAATCAGACACATCACTGAGAAGGCACAACTTTCCTCTTCACCTGGTCTGATGCCCTGGATTACAGTAATCAGCACTCAAACACTGGTTTTGCATATTTATTGAAGACTTCAGGTGACAGCACAGCAGGTTAGATTTGAATCGTGCCAGAAGAATATTAAAAACAGGAACTGAGCTGGATGCTCCCCCCACTTACTGGAGACACACACAAAAAGGCAAACCCAAACAAACTTCACTTCAACCCCTTCCTTTTGCTTACTGGAGCTGAACAGGATGGTTCCATTGGTAGCAGGAAGTCGGAAGCATTCATACCCATAGTGCTGCTCATGGGAACTGGGACAGGTCTTGCCAGGAGACCTGCAGAGCTGCTTCTGCCAGAGGCATCTCCCAGGGTTAAGTCATCAGCCAGCACAGTCCCAAATGCAGGGCTGTTTATTCAAAGAGAAACAAAGCACCTTTATTTTCAGACACAGGTTTGTTATGTGCGTGGTCAGCTATAAAATGGGGTGGCAAGGGGACTGTGGCCTTCAGTTTCAGCTCTCAGACAGGCTTGTACATGGATGGATTTTGCACCAGGTTTCCCTCTCTCTCTGTGTGGCTACACTGTGCTCCTGCCTGCTCAGGACCAGCAGTGGGAAGATGCTGTAGGTGCAGCTAGGGAAGAAAAAAGCAATCTGGGGCTGAGACAGCTGCAAATTTGTCTGCCCCCCAACCCTGTCCCCCATTAAAAAGAAATAAAAAGGCCCATTGGCTTCTGAACAAACATGAAAGCATCTTGGGTAACTTTGGTTGGTTTTCCCATCTTCCCAGGCTGTTTGAGCACTACGGAAACACAGAGCACAGAGGGAGCTGAGTTTTCTTGTGAAGAGCAGCTGTTCCTCTGGGACCCACAGGCAGAAATGATAAGAGCACGAAGGAGAAAACTTCCCAGAGACACACTTCACCAACAGAGGACCTTGCTCTACCTTGTGTGCAATTAACTACTTATTGACCACAGCACTGCCAGTTCCTTCAGATCATGCCTTTACAACAGTCCAGGGCTACATGAGAGCAGCCCCAGGAGTAAGGGGAATACCTGAGCCCTCCCAGGGAAACTCAGCAGCTGTGGTGAATCCTAGCTGTTTATTAGGAACTTCAGCTGACAATGAAGCTGTGCAGCTCTTCAGAAAATACACTTTTCAACTACCCAGATTCTTCACCAGCCGAAAAATCACAAGAGATAACTATGTAGGAGAAGCCATCTGCTTCGTCACTTCCTCAGTTTTTAGTGACAGCCACCGTGGGTGGCTGGAAAAGTCCCTGCCTGGCTTGCCTTCCTGTTCCTCAGGGCCATGAAGTCAGAGTCCCCAGCGTGACATCACAGCACATTGGGCAAGGCAGCTTTGCAAATGCCCAGCCAGGGCTGGGGCGCCAATAGAGCCCTGGCACAAGATGAAGAAAACAGCAAGCCAACGTGAGGGGTGGGATGGAAAAAAAAAAGGAAAGTGAGGCTCGTTTCTGCTTTTCCTTTAACAGACTAGAGAGTCTCTCTTTAAATGTGACTCATCCAGGGCAATACTAGGCAGAGTTTCTTCTATTAACACACCCTTGGCAATAGCAGTTCAGTTAGTCACTGACCGGGTCTCAAGACGTCACCGGCCGGGATGATGCATCTCTAACTTGGTACGAAGTCCGCTAGCACTTATGTACTTTGGAGAAGAGCAAGCGGACAGGGCACGCCATCCCTCCTGAACAACTTTACCACCAACTATTCGCACCCACATGCCGACACGGCCCGTTCCCTCCATCTCCGCTCCCGCCGGGCACACCGAGCCCCGCTGCAGGAATGTTCAATCTTTTCGCGCTCCCCCGTGCAAGCGCATCCGATCCTGGGGCACTCCCGGCAGCGCATCGGGGGTCCGCAGAGCCGAGCATGGGGAACCGCTGGAGGCAGGACAGTGGCGACGGACGGGGGAGCGATTCCTTGGCACGCCGGAGCCCCTCACCTGGCTGGCCGAGGGGGCAGGAGGGCGTCGAGGCTTCGAGGCGCGGGTCCGGGGAGGCGAGGCGGCCGCACAGTGATGTCCGAGGAGCAGGTTAGCCGCTGTCACACGCACAGTGGAGTCGCCGAGAGCACAATGTGCGTTAGTCAGTGGCTCACCTGCTCCTGGAGGGTGACGGGGGGGCGGCGGGGCCCGCCTGCAGCAAAGGCAACACCGGGCAGCGCGAAGGATGGGGCGCTGGAGGGGGGAGCCGCGCCGTGCCCGGGCTCCGCGGCGCGTGGAGCTGCAGCTTCGCGCTCCCACCCCTGGGACAGGCTGGCCCGTGCGGCCCCGGGGCCGGCGGCGCCCCGCAGCTCCGGAACGGAGGATCCCTCCCCGGCGCGGCCGCCGCTCACCTGCGCTCCCGCCGCCGCCGCCGCCGCCAACTTCTCGCTCTGCCCCGGCCCGGCCCACGCCGCGCGCCGCGGCCCCTCGCCCCGCCCCCCGCGCCGCTCCGGCCAATAGCGACGCCGCGCGCCCGCCCGTCGGCCCCGCCCCCGCGCCGCTCCAGCCAATGGCGGCTCCGCCACCGCCCGCCGACGGCCGCGGCGGGGCGGGCCCGGGCGGGCAGGCGGCCCCCCCGCCCCCCCGGCGGTGACAGCGGCGGGCGCGGCGCGTTCGCTTCTGCACGTCGCTGCTGCTGCGGGGAGGAACCATTTGTACCTGTTGAGCCGCCGCCCGCCTCCCGCTCACCCCGCCCCGCCGACCCCCGCTCTCCCCGCCCTCGCCGCCTCGCTCGGGCCGGCGGCCGCCGGGGACGACCCCCTGCCCTGCCGCCGCCACCCGCGACGAGCCCCTTCCCCGCTGGCCCCCCCATGGCCCCGCCACTCGTCTCCCCTTTCCCCTCCGTCCCCCTTCCGCCCCCGCCGGAGCCCGGCCCATGGTACGGCCCGCCGGGGCCGTGCCATCAGGGCAGTGTCGGGGCGCACGTAGGCGGTGCGGGAGGGACGGGGCGAGGGGGCGGGGGGAGAGTCGGGGTGTCCCCGGCCGCCCCCGCCACTGCCGCCTCTCCCTTCGCTGCATCAGATGTCACGGTGTCACATTAATTTTTTGTATGTTTTCCCCCCTCCGTTGTTCTCCGCTGAGTTGGGCGCACGGCGAACCCGAGTGCCCCTCGCAGTGCTAGGGGGTGGAGGTGGTCCCTCGGCCCCGGGAGTCTACTTCCAGCAACTTCCCCCCCCAAAAAAGGGACGTGCAGTTGGAGGTTTTCTGTACATCCTCAGTATAACAGCGCTCACCTTCTGATGGGGCGAGCTCGCTCCCGCCCATCACCCTACAAGCCGCAGCCAAGCAAACAGCTGGAATGCTGAAAATTTTAGTGCACCTCAAGGAGGATTTGCCAAGCACCAGAGACAGAGCTTTATGGATAGGCACAGCGTTGTCCCGTAGTGGGAAAAGTCTTGTCTGGAGACTCAGAAAGCCAGGCGTCGAGTCTTGCAGGCTGGCTCCCATCTGCCCGAAGTGACACACACGCCCTCCTCGAACAGACCGGAACCAGAGCGCGTCTGGGGGAGCGGGCACGTTAGTTGTGACCCCCCCGGTTCATTCAGACTGCTGTCGGGCAAGGAAAATCACTTCGGGTGCGGATGTGGTCACAAACAGAAGCCACACGCCTCATCCCTGGTGAACTGATAATGCATGCTGTCCGGCAAAAGGCACGAGCTCTGCATCCCTTGCGAAAACTCCCTCGGCATCAGCTGTCCCGGCTCCGGACGGGTGTTTTGCAATCTGGAGCAAGATTTGGAAGCAAAACCTAGCGCAGGCTCCCTGATAGCCGGTGGCAATTCCACACCGAAAGGATTTCCTTACATCTTTTGATGGAGTGCTTTAACACTCATCCGTGGCTCTGCTCTCCCATTGCCGGTGTGGAGGGGGGATGGGGGGACAGCCCCTCTTCTGCGTGACAGCCTGCACAATGACAGGCTGTCTCTGTTGTCATTTTGTGTGCATGCTATGTGGGTTTTTTTTTGTTTTCACCAGCAGCCTTAGGGGGAAAGTCACGTATTTTACATCTTTCCCAGCACAGAGATGCTGCCTGGATTGGAGAGACATTGTCTGCAGAGACCAGCGACCCCTCCACCCTTCGGGCATGAGCCAACACAAAAGAAGGCACAAACATGGAAAATACTCTTTTTTATAAAATAGGTATTTTAGTGGAAGTAACATGGCTGGGTAGTGCCCTGACACCTCCCTACCAGCACTGCTGTTTCTGCCAGCTGCTCTACAGGGTACAGGACACATGTGCTGTTGGCTCCTCTGCTCCAAGTCCCTCTTCTTCCAGGCAGTACTATACATTCCAAGTTTTACTTTAAAAAAAAACCAAAAAAAAACTTTCTTCAGTCCTTCTCCTGACTGTATGCACACAGGGATGGAGCGTGTTTTGAAGCAGTGCTGGCACAGCTGGCTGCCAAGCTCTGGATGTTGCTCGGACCTCGCTGACCGCTGTGTTAAACCATCCAGCGTGGAGCAGGGCCAGCGCGGAGCCAGCTGAGCGCACGGCGGGCAGAGGATGCGCTGCTGCAGCGGGTGAAGCGCTCCCCTGCAGCCCAGGCCCTCGCTCCAGAGGTGCCATCCTCCGAGTCTTTACAGGAACGGCGAGACCGCCCGGCTCACAGGATGGTTACTACTGCCCTGGCAAGGCCCTGGGCCCAGGGGCTTTGCTACAGCGCTGGTGGGTTTGCCCTCAGCCTCCGCTCCCCCTCCAGCTCCAAACAAGTTAGTGGCTCAGCCCTTAATCTCTGGGATGAAATGTCCTGCTGACACGGCCGGTGCTGTCCCCGGGAGAGCTCCCGCTTATCCCAGCCCTGCAGCTCTTCCCTTTGTTCCTAGCTGGCTTCCAGTCCCCGCGGCGGTGCCAGAGCCACGATGTGTGCAGTGACAGGGAAGCGCATTCGTGGATGGCGGGAGAGCGTCACGGGCTGCCCTCCGTGCCAGTGCCGCTGTGCTGCGCCCACGGACTCGGGGAGGAATCCAAACCGGGGAACATGTCCCCAGTCTTACCCCCGGAGGCTGGCAAACCCCGCATGGACTAAGTTGCAAATAAGAAGCTGCCTCTGTGCAGCGCGGGCCTCGCCGTTTCCAGCACGAGGCATTGCGTGCTCACCGGCTGGGACATCACCAGCGGCTTCGCCCCGGTCCCTCCCGCTTCGCCCCTCTTTCTGGCCTCGAGCAGGCAGACAGCAGCAAGGCTGGCGCGGGTTTTGTCCCGCTCTGTGTTCTCTGGAAAAGGACCTTGTTTTCTCCCCGGTATCCGCCCGATTTCTGACAATGCCCTGAGTGTCTGCGAGGACACGCACGTTAGCTCTGGGTCACGTCCGCCTGCAAGCAGAGCCTGGGCTGCGCTCCCCTTGCCGGCGGCCAGCCGAGGACAGTCCGGGCAGAGCCCCACGGCGATGGAACAGCGCGAAACCAGCCCTTCCTCCTCTACGTGCGTGCGCTCACCCAGCGCCACGGGAACATTTGGGTCGGGCCCAGCCGAGAGTAGTTAGAGGGGGAAAAAAACCGCAGCGGTCTGCGAGAGGTACTGAGCACTGATCCGCGTCCTCACGGACCGCACGGGCCGGACCGGGCTGCGCGAGGATGCTCCCAGCCCCGAGAGGCGGAGCGGAACGGAGCGGAACGGAGCGTCCCGCGAGCGCAGCCCCGCAGCACGGCGGCCTTTGCGCCCCGCTTTCCCCCCGCAAAGCTTGGAGACTCCGGCGGAGGGATGCCGGTCATCCCCGCCAACCCTGTGTCCATGGAGCAACCGGAAGCGGCCGGAGCGGGACCGGCGCTGCCCGCGGGGACCGAGCGCGCTCCTCCCGCGGCCCCGCAGTGGTACAGCCCACGCGCCCCTCCGCAATGGTTCATCCCCGCGGCGCTTTGCGAATGGTTCGCCCCGCCCCCCCCGCCGCGGGCGCGGTGGTTCCGCCCGTGACCCGCCAGTGTTTCCGCAGCGCTTCCGGGGCCGCGGGAAGCGGCAGCGCCGGACCGGACCGGACCGGGCCGGGCCGGGCCGCGCCGCGGTGTGAGCGCGGGGCTGCTCCGGACCGCCATGTGAGCGCGGGGCTGCTCTCGGTGAGTGCCGCGGCGGGCAGGCCTGCGCGGGCGGGTGGGGGCCGGGTATGGGAATTGGCGGAGTGGCCGACCCCCGCCCCGGCGGGGAACTGCCCCGGTCTCTCCTTTAGTGTCGCTCCTGTAAACAACAACAGCGACGACAGCGTGTTTGTTGCGTTGTTTCCCGGCGGTAGGCGCCCCCGCGGGAGCGCAGCCCCCGGTCGGGCTGTCCCCGGGTGCTCCGCGGATTCCCATGGGATGCAGAAGGGCCGGTCGGGCTCAGGAGCCATCCAGCTGCCCTTGCTGCGGCAAAGACCGAAAGAAATGTACCAAGCGCATGTATAAATACAGTTAGGGTGCTAAACAAACCTCTGAGTGGGTCCGGCTGTTGTGTCCGCGCCTCTGCCTTTCCCCCGTCCCTTTCTCCCTGTTCCCACCCTTCCCGCTGCTCCTGGTGCTCACACGGCTGTCGGAGCAGTTTCAGCTGTTTCAGCCAACAAGTGCAAATGAGGAGCTGCCTGCAAGTTGTTTTTGTTTGTTTTAATCGTGTATTAGCTTATCACAAGGCCACGTTTAGTCTTAAAAACTTTGCCTTCAGGGACCTGTGCTTACGGAGAGGTTCTGAGTTGTGTCACGGGTGCCTGCCCTAAGCCACCGCACGTTTGGTGCCAGTGGGGTGGGTGGGATTTTTGTAGTTTCATTTGCTGTTCTTCCTGCGGGTTGTTCCCATGTACTGTGTTTCAGGGGTGTCTTTTGTCTTCTTTCCTTTCCTGTAGGTCGATGGGTCTTTCTCCATAGGGCTGTGCACAGAATGTACAAGTGTGTGACCTTTTGTTTGAGTTTTCTTGTTTGTTTGGGTTTGTTGGATTTTGTTGTGGTTTTTTCTTTTCCCACAGTCATTCCCACGAACAGCAGGGGAAGCTGTAGCTAAAGATGGGACTGGTGTGAAAGGCTGATGCTGGAAGGGAACTCGCCAGCAAGGGTGACTCTTCCTAAGGAAAGAAGCCTGTTAAGAAAGAGGACGTGCAGAGTGGGAGAGTAGTTAATTTGCAGCTGGAAGCACGGGTAGTGGCTGCAAGGAATTGGAGGCTGGGAATTCCGTAGAGCTTGCCTGCTGCTTTGAATATAGAGGTACAAAATGCTTAGCTTCTCCTCTGGGTAAGATGCTGTACTTTCAAAATGCTTTTAGAAAGCCTGTGTGTTGCTTTGTTTGCATTACAAACTCCCTAAAGAGTGCAGTGTCAGCTCCTGGGGAAGCTTTGGTGGGCAGTTTTCATCCTGGAATTCAGGGTGGCTAAATTTAGGGCAGG